ATTCTAAAGCAACAAAATATTAAGAATAGTAAACGAAGATAAGCTTTAAGGAAAGGATTTTAAATCTATGTTTTAAAACAACAAAGAAGGGCAATTGTCAAGAACTATAATTAAGGTCTTTTAGCTGATCCCAAATATGTTTTCCTTTCTTCTTGACAGGCACAGCTGTGCTGCTCAAAAGGAGATGAAGTCTATTATTAATACAAACAAAAAGTCATGCAGCAGAAAAGCAGAGAAAGTCTGACAGCATCATGAATTGTAGTGCAATAATAATTCAATATAATTACAAAGCATGCCTAAACTAAAGAGAGAAAATGGACTGTACAAACAGGCTTTCATTTCCATGAAAGAGCTCCTATGTATTTCTGATGAGACAAAGTGCCTGTATATGGATTATTACTATAAACCATAATACCCAATGTTCTCCCATGAGTGCAATATTTCACATTTTTGATTATGAAAATCCAACTTGTTTAAGCCAGAGGTAGGGGCTGAATGGAAAAAAAATCAACAAATACTATAAGCCTGACTTTACAGCAGATGTCACCTAGCCTCTACCAAATCATTCTTCTCACTGTTTTGACTTCCCCATTTCGGTTGTCACTAAGAGTAGAATATAAGCTGACAAAATCAGTAGTGATTTTTCTAGCTACTTCAAACTGTGATGGCAACACTAACTGACAATGTTGGTTATGCTACTATTAATGTCAGTAATTATAACTTAGAGTACTGATAATGATAACTTGGAAAACTGGAAGGTAGAAGAATACAAATGAGTGCACCAACAGGAAAAATGGGAATTATTAGGCTAAAAAACGATATAATAAAACAGGTTGAAGGAACATCTAACCACAGAGATGTGGAAGAACTTAAGGAATATTAATATGGCTGTAAGTTTTCCTAGTACACAATTAAACCTTGTGAATTATGTGAGATTATGTTAGTTTAGCCAGACTATTTTACATCTAAATGAAAAAACAAAAATAAATAAGGACTTTTTTCAAAATATAATTGTTGACTACTTCCTGACAACAATGTTAATGCCAATAACTTTGAATGTTTTCTTTGCCCAGTAGTCAACTTTCTATGCTAGAAAGGTCTGCCACCTTACTTTGCACTAATAATGCTTACCCACCATTCCCCGTTTTCTGCATTGTGAATTCATGAATAAGCAATTACCAGTGGAAGCAGAAGGGTTCAAACTGGTGGGGAAAGCGTTGGGCAAAATGAGAGCTTCCAAAATAACAGAACTTCCATTACTCCAGCAGTTTCTTGTTGGGAAGATTTCTAGGTGGCTCTTAACTATGCCACAGATGTACTACAGGACTAAACTTACAGATGGTTCATTTCTTCAGAATTTTCTTTACAGTGAGGCTCCATTGTGAAATTATATATTAGTTTACAAGAGTGTAGTTTTTCCACCCCTTTTAGAGTGTAACACAAGACATACACAACAGATTCAGTCAGGGTCTGTCAAATGGCATAACTGTCATAGTATATCCCATAGGTAGACAAATCCAGTCTCTCTGCTTCCCCAAACTCTTTGGAGAGATTTTCCAGTTGTTTTTGTTTATGTGTTTGCTTGTTTGTAAGAAGCAGCCTCTTATAACTCTTATTCATATGTGAAACCCTTCGAGCTGCTGTCCTGAGTCACCACTATCATTTCTTACCCATGTTTGCGACAGGTAATGAAAAACAAGTTTTGTGCAGATCCACCACATTTCCCTTAAAGCATATCTCAACGTACATATATCTATAATAACTTGTGCCTTTCCAAACTATTAATTAAGAAGGCTGAGAAAATCTGCAAAGCAAATCTATTATATATGACAGCCTCAAGAGACTAGTCATGGCCAGTGTCGTGGCACAGGTTAATCCTCCGCCTGCGGCGCAGGCATCCCATATGGGCACCAGTTCTAGTCCCGGTTGCTCTTCTTCCAATCCAGCTCTCTGCTGTGGGAAAGCAGTGGAAGATGGCCCAAGTCCTTGGGCCCCTGCACCAGCGTGGGAGACCAGAAAAAAGCACCTGGCTCCTGGCTTCGGATTGGCACAGCTCTGGCCATTGTGGCTATTTGGGGAGTGAACTAACGGAAGGAAGACCTTTCTCTCTGTCTCTCTCTGACTGTAACTCTACCTCTCAAATAAATAAATAAAATCTTTAAAAAAGAGAGAGAGACTAATCTACAAGTTCTGTTTTATAGAAGTGTGTGAAAAAAGCGTTGCTGAAAGAAAAAAGATATTAATTATGATAAGGTAGAGTAAGTCTGTTTGATGAGCATGATTATGATCTAAATATTTAGGCTATATCTGCCTAAGATGAGGTGAAGAGCTGACTGTTTTCCATTCAAACTGTCTGATCAAAATAAAGAGTAAATATAAATAATTTAATTCCTTTAGCTGGAGGCCTCCAAAATTTTCAAAATTAACACTCTACCATAACAACATTATCCAGTAAGTTATTTTACCAAATAAATGGTCAACATTAATCTGTTTAAATTTGTTATGTGTATCGTTTTACTTAACTAAGATTATATAAGAAAATTATTTACTTATGTGCTAGCCATTTATTAAAAGCCTACTGTCTTCTGTATTTTATGGAAAATGAAGCATATAGCACACCTCATATTAAGAAGTTTATAGTCCATCAGAAAATAAAAGAAAGACCTATAAAAATAGTTTAATTATAGTATCTAAGCTATCAGACTTAGGTAAAAAATAATAACAAAATATTTGGATTAAAAAGAGGTCAGGGTAGGAGCAGAAATCAGAGGTTCTAGTTAGCAGTGATACCGGCAGGTGTAAATAGTTGGGGGAAAGTGTCCATAGTGATAATCTCATCCCAGGGATAAGTATCTGGGGCTGGGTACTAGGAAAGGTCAGAGTAGGAGAATCAGAGGAGATGGTATCAGACATGGTGACATAGTTTATTATGATCTTCTAATTAGCCATAAGAAAGTCTGACTTCTTATTTCTAATAACCCATTCTCCCATGTATTTTCAACTCAACCCAACCAAGGAACTTCTGATAGGAACTAGGAAACTGTAGGGCCTGACATTTGGAAGGTATTCAATATTGTCAAACAATAGATAAATTGATGATACCTACTGAACTATGACAAGTGAATACATTCAATTGAGGGAAAAAGAGCCTTGTATTAGCTGTCCCCCAAACACTCCTGTGTGAAAGAAAGAGGTGTGTGTGTGTGTGTGTGTGTGCGCGTGTGTTCGGTGGAGGTGTTTCTAGTAGAAAGCAACATCTTGACAGTGATGTTTTAAGATTAGTGCAGAAAGGTCAAGTAAAGATAACCAAGATACAGAGAAAAACACGGAGACCGAATAGGTACCCTTAAAGTTTCACACAGGGAAAATGTCTCTTACTCTTGTAAAGTGAATTGCTTACATACACAAACTGCATTTTCAATTCACAAAGGGCTACACTCATCTCCTGTATGATACAAGGCAGTTTACATCTTGTTTCAGATCAGTCTTCTAGTGATCTATGATGTTTGCTATTTATATGAAATAAAAAGTCAATGGGAGTGAAATCTGTATTTGATTCCAAAGTCTTCTTTCAAATACATCCCTAAAAATATTGATTCAATGTGTAAGGAAATCATTTTTTTGGACGTTAAAATACAAACTCCTACAAATAAATTATAACATTTGTATAACAAATAGATACAAAAATAGGCATCACAAACTAAACACAATACAGAATTACTGCTGCTACTAGGGAAAAAAGCAGTAAATTTTTAAGTCATTCTTTCTGAGATATTCCCAGAAAAATAGATGGGAGCCTGATTATTCTTAATAAATGTGCAATCTAAATTTTAGACTATAACTTAATAGTAATACAACCATCTAAAAATACCCCTCAACTGGGTCTTTCTCTTACCTGAAATATCATTTCAGTACGTAGTTTTTCAAGAACGGCACAAATCTACAGTAAGAGCACTTCAAAAAGTTCATGGAAAACACAGATTATGAAAAACTATGCATGGATTTCAAAATTCTTTGAACCAAAATAAACGTATCATTTAATTCCTTTTATCCATGAAAATGCTCTCATATTCTGTTGAAGTGTCTCATATTCTAAAAGCTTGAAAAGCAAATAGATTCACTGAACATCGGTTAAGTGGCTGAGGTGGTAATTATATCACACATCATTCTGGAAATTTACTAATGAACTTTTGTGGATGTCTTTGTCACTAAAGCCTAAATCATCGTGGGCGGCAGAGAGTCCCTGGAAACTTTCTTTCCCATTTTCCCCCAGGCTCAAGCTTGCCTGACATTCCTCCCCAGCCTTCACCTGCCTTTGTTTTGTCTTCCCCATGTGACACTGCCTTTCCAGGGAGATCTTGCAGGGAAATCGATTTTCCTCTTTGCTGTTTTTACAGTTCTTCGTTCCATATATAACAGAAGTAGCACAACAGAGAACACAAAGATTGCCCTCAGAAATGATGAGGGAAAAAAACTGAATACTTAAACCATTTTTCAACGCCTATCCATGTATTAGAACAACAGCAACAGAAAAACTCTGTTGCTCAAAATTTTTCATTGTGTAAATCCTTCCCCAAGTGGCAGCCAATCAGTTTTTCAGGAAGAATATACTAATTATTATTATATTATTATATTAGCATTAAGGCTAATATTTTAATTTTTTTTTTTTTTATTTTGAGAAGCAGAGGGATAGACACAGAAACAGAGACAGAGAGACATTCAGAAAAAGAGGAGATAGAGATAGAAGTAGAGCTCCCACCCACTGGTTCAGTTCTTAAATGCAGGTAATGGCAACCAGCTGGAGCAAGAATAATTATAATAACAAAATTACACAGGAACAGAAATCTCTGATCTAACAAATCCTAGGAATTTGAGTATTTTGTAATATAAGAGAATAAGCATTCTTCCTACAAGTTGTTTAGCTTTGCTTTAACACTACTTTATCTATACTCTAGGTAAAATTTAGACAATTGAAACTACCAAATTAATTGTAATCTTACCATTGTTGTTTCTTGAATGGATCCAAAACTGTTGATAAAAATGTTGACAACCACATCAACAGGGATGCCTATGAATAAAAATTAATGATAAATTTAGTACCTGTAAGAAATTTGGTCAGAATCTTCATGTTTTTATAGTTTATGTATTTATTGCTTTTATATTTTCTAGATGAAATTGGATATGTTCAAGGTGACACAGTTCTAGAATACTTTATATTTTCCAATCCACATGATATGCAAAATCTATAGTCCCAGTATTCCTACTAATTTATTTTTCTGTATATGGATTATGTAGTAAATAAAATGAGTAGAGCTATAATTATAATATTCTTTATTAAGAAATAATTCTCTCTTAAAGTGTAGAGACTCTGGGAAATATGTTTAGATTCAAATCTTGTATAAATAGGCCAGATGCATTTACTTTAAGAATTCGTACAGGAAGAAAATTATTTTTATAGGATTTAATTTTTTTTGTACTTCTCTAATTTCTTCAGATTCTTACATTAACTGGCAAAAGAGTAATGACAAATTTTACTTTTATTTACTATATTTTAAATTTTCAATTCATGAAAATGCAAAGTAAGACTTGTAACTCTTACCATAAAGATTTCTGCCTGACCTGTTGGAAAATAATTTGAAAGTTCATGGAGTGAGAACTGAGGTATAATGTTGCAAATTTCTTTCTTTCTTTCTTTTGAGCTCATTGTGGCTGCTGGTTGGGCTATCAAAGGGAAAATGTGAATTTAGCCTTTTAGCCACATAACCACTGACTGATGAAAACCAGGTGGTGAATCAATACATGGTGGGCATGTGACAGCCCAGACCAAGGCTCTTGTTGAAAGTAACTGAATAGGTTCTGGTAATGAACAAAACCCCTGTTTTTACAACATAGCTGTATAACTTCAGTTGACTAGAAGCAGCTGCAGATCTTTTATTTTCTGTAAGGGAAAAAAAAAATCAAGCCTTATAATGTTAATCTGATCTACTTTAATACCTGCCCTTAAACAGCAACAAGGATTACAGCTTTCCAGAGATGTTCTCACATACCCTTTCCTAATTCATCAAAAAAAGCAAAACCTATACAGCTATATAATTTTATTTAGTTTTTAGTACAGTGTAGCTCTTTAAAGGTGTAAACAATAGTAATATGCTGTCAGAATAAAAATAACCTGTGTTGTAGAATACATAGTCACTTTATTCACAATGTTAATTTTTAATACATAGGGTCAGCTTCTTTCAGAAAAATAGAGGGAATTTTTTTAATCAATGTGCCATACTAACAAAAAAAAAAAAAAAAAACATAAACTAACATCAGAACTGTTGTCTTTCCCTAAGAGAGTCAATGGCTGTTCTACAAATTATAAAGTTGGTATTTGTGAATAAAAGCCAGATTCATATCTAGAGCCTACATTTTAAACCCTAAGGTTAAGAATACTCAGTACTTAGAAAACTCATCACAGAGATTAGCATATTAACTCAGAGCAAAACATTTTGGGTTTTCCTGAAAAAAACTGGTAACCTATGAAACTATTCAAATTCATATTTTGCTTATCTTTGAATATTAAGGCATTAAGTTGCCTTGAGGCTAACTACATTACAAAGCAGTTGTATGTCAGATGGAAATCTAGTTGCCTTGAAGGCTCAATGAATGATTTTATACAGATACAATTAATGTTTTGAGTTTTAAATTAAAGAAAGAAGATTTGGGAGGAGGGGGAAACAAACCTTTGAAATTTGGTCTTATCCTGGGGTCATAACTGACCAACAGCCGGTTCAAGATATTGCTAGTGGAGTTGGCGGGCACTCGGGCCAGGTCCTCTGCTGACTGCTGACTGGGAGAAAGGAAAATAAACCCTAGTGAGCATAGAAGTAGCAAGCAACAGGAATAGTTCGTCTTCACTGGGAGAAAAGGCTGTGCTGTTTTGAGGATCCACAACCACTGCCCACTGCATGCCTTCCCCAAATAGAAGTAAATGAAGAGTAGCAAAGTTTGTCAGGAGCCCAAAGGATATTTTTATAAAATGTAAAACAAATAGGAAAGTATTTCAGCATTTAATTTTACTAGATCCATGAAACACTGTCCTAAATACTCCATGTTACTTTCTATTAAATAAACTGCAACAGACATCTTACTTGTCTGGAAGGAATCTATGGTCAAAACCCAGGCAAACGCAGGCGTGCACATGAGACAGAAATAGCAGAGCACGTTTCTGTACAGTGTACATTGGGAACCTTCTGCCTAATCAGCAGGATGAGGCTGTCAGATAAGTCCAGACAGTTGAAGCATTCATAAACTAATTCTACTGACACGCATAAAATGGTATTTCCAAAGAAACACAGTGACTGTTCGCTTCACTGAGTTAAATTCAGTATCCTAGGGAATAGGTCAAAGAACATCTCTATAACCAGATCCGTAAAATAAGTAAAATACTCCACAATTCTATAAGACATGAGGGCACTACAGAAAGTTCATGGAAGTGAAATTAACCGGTGTTTACTACGGGAGCTAGCATTGGGGCACAGTGGTTTGTCACCACCTGTAACATGGGCATCCCATTAGAGTTCAGATCAAGTCTCAGTTTTGGCCTGGCCCAGCCCTGGTGGTTGTAGCCATTTGGAAAGTGAACCTGTGGATGGAAGATTTCTCTCTGTGTGTAACTCTGCCTTTCAGATAAATAAATAAATAAATAAATAAATAAATAAATAAATAAATAAATAAATCTTAAAAGGGGGGGAATAGTGCTGCTGTGGCATAGCAGTATAAGTCCCAGCCTGCAAAGTCAGCAATTCATATAGGTGCAAATGCCTGGCCACCCCACTTCCTATCCAGCTCCCTGCTAATGCACTGGGAAAATCAGAAGATGGCCAAGCATTTGGGCCCCTGACACCAACGTGACAGACCTGGATTAGGAAACACACACACACACACACACACAGTGAAAAAAAAAACCTAGATGTTTATTTTGGTGCAAAAACGTATAAATTCGTATTTTTCTTTTTAAATAGCAGCTGTTTAACTCAGTATATTTTATTTATTTTTAAGAAATATTTATTTAAAAGGCAGAGTGACTCTCACACACACACACACACACACACACACAAAGACCTTCCATCTGCAGATTTCTTTCCCAAATGGGAACAACAATCAGGTGTGGCTCAGGCTAGAGCCAGGAGCCAGAAATTCCAATAAAATTATTTTCATCAGTACAAAAAAGAAAGTGTCCCTGACAACCACAAGGAATATCAAAACTAGGCTTGGTGTATCTAGCATTGCCTATTCCATTTTTACCATACTGAAATGGTAAAAACTCTCCATTCACATAATATATTAATTTATATGAAGTAGCATAGACGTAAGAGGTTTGGCTTTGTATTGAAATCAAAATTCTTTCCTATAAGGCTACTGTGTCCCGCTGATACTAGGCAGGTGACACAGATGAACTAGATATTAAGAAGATCATGCAAAAATCTAAAAACACTATTAACTGATACAGACAACCTCTTCAAATAGAAACCACTCACAAGAAATCAATTACTTAAACCTCCCAAAGGTGCAGGAGATTATACAGATTTTTTAAAATTGCTACTCGACAGCCTCGTCAGCTCTAATATCACAGCTTAAGGAACTTGGGGAATTGTAATGAGATAAAAATGTAACTTTAGGGACACATGTCATCCCTTATCAAAACATGGAAAATTCTAGAGAGAGTGGGGTTATGTGAGAAAAATTGAAAAGAGAATGCAAATTAGTGTTCAAATCTATTTGCCAGTTTTCTCATTCAAGAGAGGAAAACAGAATTGATTATAAAATACACCTCTATTGGATCTATTGGGGCTGGTATTGTGCCACTTGACACAAAATCCTTACAAGTGCATTCAATGAAAGCAATAAAACAATTAATAGTAATTTCTGTGGTTCAGAATCTTCCAGCCTGATTTTCCCCCAGCTGCAGGCTATGACAACCAATTCATATTCTAGCTCTCTAATTCACTAGCAAATCTTGCCCTTGTACTCTCTAGTACAAAATCAGTCCCCTCTTCCCAGAGTACTCTAACTTCCACTCCTCATTGTATTAACCTAAAACTAACCTGTCCTTTAAAATTGCCTTAGAGTTAATTTCCTTTCTAAAATTTTGTCTCAATCATGCCTCCTTACTCTAATGAAAAAACACAAAGAAATATATGAGTTGGCAATGACTTTGTAACCTTTTTTTTAAAATCTGCAAGCATATTACAAGCTAGACAGAATGCAGACAGTAAGATTGTTGAGGGGACAAGGGCTTCTACACTGGTTTTAAGGCATTAAATAGATATTGGTCCAAGCACTTTCCACCTGTGAACTTGGCAGATTTCAGCCCAGGTTGCCTCAGGGAAAGCAGTTCCACTCGTCTTCTCCACAGGAAGAATGTATTTCTTCTTTCGGTGCTCTCTTAGCTGAGAGGAATCTTCTACCCTCTCAGGAGCTTCCCCACATTAAAGCAATATGCATCATGGAATGGCTATTACAGAATCGATCACCATGTTCATTCCTTCCTTCTTTCATTGGATAAACACATTCACTTGATTAAACAGAAAAGTTAGTAACCACACAAAGCTGTTTTTCAGTGGCATGAATGAAAAACTAAACAAACAAAAGAGTGAACAAATAAAAAATATATTTTAAGAGATTAGGTAGATGTAGCCAGTGTCTTAAAAACAGCCAAAGTAATCTGCATGTTGCATATTTTCCTAAGTATGTATGTTACTATATATAACTTTACAATTTGGAAAGTAAGTTAGTATTATTTTTACAAAATGAGCAGGGATAAGAACAATTGAATGATGTTAATTACCTCACTCAGTAAATGCCTGCTCCATTATTACATTCTCAAAATTCTGAATCTTGGTCCAATGTTTCATCCATTTACTGGTTATTTTGTTTTATTTGAAGAAATATATCGGCCGGCGCCGCGGCCCAATAGGGTAATCCTCCACCTAGCGGCGCCGGCACATGGGGTTCTAGTCCCGGTCGGGGCGCCGGATTCTGTCCCGGTTGCTCCTCTTCCAGGCCAGCTCTCTGCTGTGGCCCGGGAGTGCAGTGGAGGATGGCCCAGGTGCTTGGGCCCTGCACCCCATGGGAGACCAGGAGAAGCACCTGGCTCCTGCCTTCGTTCGATCAGCGCCGTGCGCCAGCTGCAGCGCACCAGCCGTGGCGGCCATTGGAGGGTGAACCAATGGCAAAAGGAAGACCTTTCTCTCTGTCTCTCTCTCACTATCCACTCTGCCTGTCAAAAAAAAAAAAAAAAAGTAAAAGAAAAAAAGAAATATATCAACAAATAATAAAATCCTACCAACAAAGTAGAATTTATTTCTTGGAAATATATTAATTTAAGAAAATAAGTTACTCTAAAAAGTCATCTAATGACTAGAGAAAATGTTTCATATCAAAAGCCTTTTTAACCAGTCTTCTTTTGTTCACTGGCCTAAACCTGAACCAATGCCATTACTAAAACATGAAGTTATGCAAGGAATGTGTCAGGTTATATAGCTGTATGATGTAATGTTTTCCAGAACTAAAGGAAAAACCCAGAAATTTCTTTTTAAAGGGGGAATTCAGTTTTCCATTAGCTAGAGAAAATTCTTACTTTTCCACAACCCTTTAGTGACCACAGCACACAGTTTCATTTCAAAAACCAGTGTGTTGAAGCATATTATCTTAACGTTCTTCCTCAAACCAAGATTTTGCATCCAAAGGGTTGCTTTATTTTTCCATTTGGTTACAAATGCCCCTCTCAGACCTGAACCTAGTGTGGCACATGCCAGTGGGAGTAATCTGGGTGTGGGGGCTTCAAACTCTTCAGCTGGACATGAACTTACAAGTATAAAGGCACAGCCATAGGGAAGAATGAAATATGTAACATGTGCAGCTGTATCATCCTCTTCTTTAAGGCCTGGACTCCTTAACTCCTTGTTAGGTGACAGAACCTCTGTGAATCTGATGAAAGGCAAGCACTTCCCTCAACAACAAACACAGAATTTGCAATTCTGAAGGTTTCCTGACCTGAAGATGATTGGTTAAGAAATCCTCCTGACTGTTTATGTTCAACTTAATACTTTATCCCTTTTAGTATTTTTTTGTTCTACTTAATACTATTGGTTGAACACTTTAATTAACACACACGATTATTCTTATGTGTTTAAATTTAACTGAAAAGTGATCTCTGTTAAATATAAGAGTGGGAATAAGAGAGGGAGGAGATGTACAATTTGGGACATGTTCAATCAGACTTTCCCCAAATGGTAGAGTTAGAAATGTGCCAGGGGATTCCAATTCAATCCCATCAAGGTGGTATGTACCAATGCCATCTCACTAGTCCAAGTGATCAATTTCTGTTCACAATTGATCATAATGATAGGTCTAAGAGTCAAAGGGATCACACAAACAAGACTAGTGTCTGCTAATACTAACTGATAGAATAAAAAAGGGAGAGAACGATCCAACATGGGAAGAGGGATACACAGCATATTCATAGAATGGCAGATGTCTTAAACAGAACTCTGGCCTCAGAATCAGCCCTTAAGGCATTTGGGTCTGGCTAAAAAGTCCATGAGAGTATTTTAGGCATGGAAAGCCAAGACACTCTGGCAAAAAAAGAGGACCTAAATGAAAGATCTCTGCGACAAGATCACAGTATAAAGAACGGGCCATCAAAGAAGGAGGTATCTTTCTCTGAAGGGAGGAGTGAACCTCCACTTTGACTATGACCTTGTCTAAATAAGATCAAATTTGGTGTCTCAAAAGGCTTCCATAGCCTTGGCAACTCATGACAAGAGCCTAGGGTGATTACTGAAG